TTACCAGAGTATTTTTTAACACAAGTATCTGTACTTTTACTCAAGTACGGAAAGTGAGTACTTTTGCCATCTCTGTTCATCACCCAAACCTTTGTGTGACTTTATAATTCATCAATAAATGCACACCTGGTAAATTAGACTGTTTGCATCTTTATTGTGAATTGTCCTTAAATCTTCTCAGATGGTCCCATTACATTTGAAGCTTAGGTTTTCAAACACACCATGATCCTGTTCACCTATCAAGATATACACTGATATAAACTTGGATCAGTTTGTTAGAGAGGATCAGAACCTGCAGAAGCTGCTGAAAAGCTGTAGTGGGATGTACCACGTTTTTAACAACAATGAGATGGAAAACAGGAAGCAGGTCCAGGATCTGCTGGATAAAATAGATCAGGTCTCAGGTGGAGGTAGAAAGTATTATGACAAAGGTTCTCAGTCTTACGGAGCCCCTCTGATGACATGGTAAAAAAAAATGTTTAATTGTGGCCACGAAGTAGTATTTTGTGCTACTTCGTGGCCACGCAATAAGTTTAACGTGCGCACGAAATACTTATTAATAATATTAATATCATTCCTGGACAACTTGGTAAGCAAATCAAGCGCCTTAGACCTTAGAGAAGGCGCGCTCGATTTGCTTACGAAATACTAGTTCGTGGCCACAATTAAAAATTTTTTTTGACCATGTCATCAGAGGGGCTCTGTACAGTCTGATGGAAAGTTGTTTGGAAATATTTGCTAATTTCTTCACCAATCCACCCTCTCTCAACCCTCATTCAAAGTTAATTTTCAAACCATACCCCTCCTTTGCTTTTTGTTTGTTTTTTGTTTTATTTCATGGTAGTTTCTTACAAGTTAGGACATTTGATCTGATCTTTAAGAATAATTTTAGAGATGGTAGCAGGAACAAAACAGAAATGAACAATGAAAAACATGCTAAGAATTGACAAATGGTAACCAAATCAGTTAAATAGTTGATGATTCTTATATATCAACCACTTTCTTGCTTTCTCCCTTTTTTGTCAGAACTTATTTCCATACCATTTCTTCTTCTCTAATAATCTTTAGCCATTGAGACCCATTAGGTTGATTAGTCTCAAACCATTTTATTGTTTTTGGTTTTCTTGCATATTATCAGCTGTAATTTGGTGAACTACCTATAGTTATTGTAAAATAAAAATTCAATTTTTTTGTCATAATTTTACATTCTCTATGCATAACATATCAAAGGATGTATGAGGCTACAAGAGTAGCTCTCATATATTCCAGTTAATGATTTGATTTCAATGTTAAATGATTAATGGATATAAAAAGTAAGGATTGGGCATTTGAAATAATACTATTCTGAATTCGATAAGAAAAATGTTTACTTTATCTGTTGGAATGACCTTGTAAAAGACAGGAAACCTTTTGTTCTGTCAAATGATTGCATATTGTACACTTTTAAGTACACCTATGAAAAGTGAGCAGGAATTTTTGAATCAAAATGAAATCGAAAACACAGTAAATAATTGATTAGCGGGCTCAGCCAGCAGCAAGCCGCCGCAAAGTGGATCTGGCCATTGGCCCCAGGGACCCAAGTCCCCAGGGGTGCCCCACGCCCCGGAGAGGGGGGCCCCACCAGTCGCACCGCTGTAGCCCGGAGGGCCAGGCACGGGCGGCAGGGCCCACAAACCAGCCGACCACCAAAGCCAACTCCGCCACATAGGTTTACCCTTCTGTCTCCCCCCTCCCTCCCCTTCCCCCACTAGCAGAGTGAAAACCCCTGAAGGGGTAAGTGTTTTGATTGGTACAGAAAAGCCCAATAAGCAGAACACAAACGGAGTCAGATGAAAAGTTTAACAATGTTTATTGAAACATAAGCACATGAATATTGCACTGGAACAGGTTCAGGCCAGGGGGGCAGGTTCACTGGAGTCTGTAGAGATGATAGTTCAGTTAGCTCAGGGACTGGGGAGTTATGAGTCAGAATGTTTGCTGATGAATACCTTGAAGGAGTCCGGGTTTCTCTTTGAGAGAGGAATTGTGGGTCCAGAGACTGTTTGGTCCAATAACTGCTTCAGCGTCTTACTTCTGACTTGAGGGCAGACCTTG